TGGACCGTCCTGATCAAGGTAACGGGGAGCCTGGGAAAGGGAGCCTGGCTGGGAGCTGGGGGTGTGTGTTTTGGGATTATTTCAGATATAGATCCTGTCTGTGATCCTCACCTTCCTCCTTCACCCCACATGCAGGGGGCTTTGTGCGCTGAAGGTGATTTAGTGTTTGGTGCTCTGGAGGCTCGTTGGGTACGCGGGCTCTGGACAGGGAGGAACGACAGGAATGAGCAAGGGCAGCGGGGAGCTGGGTGGACTGGGTGTACTGGGAACCCGGTGCCTCTTGCTCTGCAGCCCCTAACCCTGCCTGTCCCCCCAGGGATCGCCCTGCCCGTGGGGGAGGCTCATCGCCACGAGCCCCCCGTCCCGCACGACGAGGTGGTCGTGGACATGGGGCGGGAGCGGGAGGAATCCAACGAGAACAAGGCTGCTCCCGGAGGAGCCAACGGCCGCCTGCTGGAGGAACCAGCCAGGCTGAACTCCCAGAAGGAGGCACTGGGCCCAGAACAAGGGAAGGAAGTGGTTGCTGAGAACCAGCAGCAGGGAGGGACTGCTGGGCCCGTCCAGAAGCCGGAGAAGGTCCTGGAGGCGGTGGTGCAGCGGGATGGCGGGGATGGCAGGCCGCCCTACAAGGAGCTGGAGCCAGGGGGAGCAGTGCTGGAAGCCAAGGAACAGGCTGCTGTGCCGGATGGTGACACCGCTGAGGCCGCGGGTGACCGGGACAAGGCCCAGCTCCAGCTCCCCAGGAGAGCAGAGGAGGCCTGGAAGCCCGTGGAGAAGGAAGCAGAGCCTGGTAAGCTCCTTCCACAGCGGCTCATCTGAGCACACCCTTCTGGACCCGTTATCCCCTGGGGATGGGACAATATGGTCATTCCCACCTCCGTCCCAGTGTTTTGTTTTAATTCCACAAGACGAGCACGTGAGCGTGCACAGCCCCTCCGGCAGCTGCTGTGGGAAAGGAGGAATCTGGTGGCTTTGACAGCTACTGTAAGAGCTGTCAAACAGTTGTTCCCTACCCGCCGGAATGTCAGGTGCCGTGCTGTTCCTGCACGGCTCCCAAATCACCGGGGACACGGAGCCGGGAGATCCTGACAGGGAACACATTGCCAAGTGCCCGTCTAAAAGCCAGTTAGAGCTGTTCCTGCATGTTAATTGGCCGAGGTAGTTAGTGCTGGCTCGCTGCCACCAGCCAGGAGGTTGTTAAATATTGGGTTTATTACTTCCCTCACAGCCACTGCGCTGGATCCGAACGGGTGGGCGGGGAGGGGCATGGAGGAGTTTTGGGGAACATCTGCACTGACAGCTCTGTTGTCCTGTGAAGGTGAAAAGCAGGAGCTGCCCCTCCCGGACAGAGCGGATCTTCTGGAGAACCGGAACACCGAGGAGAAACAGGAGAATGTGGAGAGCAAGCTGGGGGGTGAGTGTGTGTCCCTGGGCATGTAGGGAGGAGGCACTGCCAGGATTCCCTGGGATCCCTCTCTGCGGGAGGACGGTGTCTTGAGGCCACAGTCCCCCCAGTCCCGGCTGCTCCTCGGAGCTGGTGCAGCAAACCCTTCCTCAGGCTGAGCTTCTCCCTTTGACCTCCTGCCTGGCAAGGGTGCTTGGAGTCTGAGCTCAGACTCATGTGCTCCCTCTCATCCCATCCTCCTCTAGCTTCCTTCCCTCCCTCCTGGGTTTGTGGAGTCAGATCTTCCTGCAAGGAGAGCCCCCACAGCCCCTTGAGTGATTTCTGAGGGCTTTGGGTCACAGAGGTTTTATTTCCTCTCTCTTTTTCCCCTTTTCCAGAAGCTAGGCCAGCAAAACTGCTGGACCACAACATGCTGCTGCAGGTGATCAAGGAGCAGCAGGTGCAGCACAAGCAGCTCCTGGACCAGCAGGCAAAGCTGCTGGCGGTGATCGAGGAGCAGCACAAAGAGATCCACCAGCAGCGGCAGGAGGAGGGGGCAGAGGAGAAGCCAAAGCCAGGTAAGGACATGGCCAGGGAGCAGGACCCCTCCCCAGGGTGCTCACTGCTCAGAGCAGCTCTAAAGTCAGGCTGGGAGAGATCCAAGTCCCTTTGGCATGTGGCAGAGTCCACTGCAAAGCCATTCCTGGCCTCCAAGGCATCCCTGAGCACAGGGATAACACCCCAGGGCTCTCCTCATCCTCCCGTGTGGCCATGGGTGCTGTGGCCTCATCTCCTGTCATACAGAATGTGCTGGCAGGAGCAGGGAATCTCCTAAGAAAACCCTTTTCCATGTCGGTTTTGTCCCGCAGTGGAAGCTCAGGCAGATCCCGCCATGCCCCTCTCCAGGAGCAGGGAGGACGAGGGCCCGGGAGCCAAGGGAGACACGGCCGGGAAGCTGCTGAGCAAGGAGCAGCTGGAGCAGCGCCCGGGCCGGCAGCCCCCCAGGGCCACTGAGCAGCACAGGGACACTGTGGGGAGGCTGGAGGAGCCTGAGCACAGGCAGGACATTCCTGCGGCTCCTCCCAAGGAGCGGAAGGCGCTGCCGCAGGAGAATGACAGAGCTGTTAGGAATCCCGCAGAGAACCGGGATCCCGTCCACGGGAATGCCCAGCGCCTTCCAGCAGCCAGAAACCACCTGGAGAAGAAGCCCTTGGCGGAGGATTTGGGAGGAGATCGTGAAGCCAAAGCTGGAAGAGACGTCCACGAGAAGAAGAATTTCCTGAAAGCTGTGGAAGCAGCGACAGCTCCCATCCAAAGAGAACAGCCGGGGGCTGCCAAAGTTCAGGGAGTAGCAGGAAGGAGTTTGGAAAGAGACTCAGGAATAGACCTTAAAACCAAAGCTGTGAGCCAGGTGGAGCCCAAGGACCTGGCAGTGGCGCCGGACTCTTCCAGTAACAGGAATGTGGCAGCGAGGGAGCAGCACGCCCAGGAGCAGCGCAGAGGGGCAGAGGCTGAGGGAGCCGCGGGCGGGCGGCAGCGGGACCCGCCCGGTCACGGGAACGTGAAGGAGGAGGATCCCCGGGAGGAGCCGCGGGGCCGGCAGGGCCGTGGGGGCGGGGGTCCCTCAAAAGCCGGCCCCGAGGATGCTCCAGCACCAAAGGCCGAGAACAGAGCGGCCGCTCCCCGGGACCCGCAGCCGGAGCACGACGTCAAACCCAACCGGGACCTGAAGCTGCAGGGGGGGCTGGACCTGCGCCGGAGGAGACGGGACCTGCTGCCTCCCGACCAGGAGGAGGAGGAGGAGGAAGAGGATGCACGGGGGGTCAGAGGGGTCCTGATCGGCCTGAACCCCGTTCCTGATGTGAAGGTGAACGACCTGCGGAGCGCGCTGGACACGCGGCTGAGCGGGGTGGCCGAGGGCGCCCAGCACCTGGTGCGCAGCCGCCACATCCAGCAGGTGACCCAGGACGGGGGCCCGTGACGGGGATTTGGGGCCGTGCTCAGGCACAGGTCGGTCTGAGCCAGCAGCGCTTTGCCGGATACAGTGCTCAGATCCACAGGGTCCCCTTGGATCCGGGAGCACCGCCCTGGCAGCTCCCGTAGCAGCACCCCCGGCACGTGCCTGTGGGCGGCCGAGGAGATGGTGACACTGGGAGCGACATTCCTGCTGCCCCTGCCTTCCAGAGCTGCCCCCCACCTCGACTCCCTGCTGCTCCAAGGACCTTTTCCAGCATCTCATTCACATCGAATTGCCTTCTGCAGCCCCATCTCCAAACTGCTCCCAGAACCGGGAAGGGGCTCCATCGGGAAGGGGCTGTGCCGAGGGGGCCCAGCATCCACACCTCGGGAAGGGCTTTGTCCCGGAGGAGCCGCGAGCTGAGGGCCAGCGGAGCCAGCAGTGCCAGAGCTGGATGGGGAGCGGAGCCCCGTGTGTTTGGAGACAGTGGTGGTTTGGGAACCTCCTTTAGTAGAAACACTGCCTTAACTGGGCACAACTCCTGCCGTTGTGCTGCCTCTGTCCCAGGGATGGGATTCCTTGGCCACACACTGGAATCACACGGAGCTCCACTCCCGCTGGCCTCCCCAGGAGCTCTCTGTGCTCTCCAGCTCCACTTCCCCTCTCCAAAGTGCATTAAGAAGCTCAGTTGCCCTCGCCCCTTCGCGACCCAGCTTTGTTTTTCTGCTGGAGATGATTAATTTGGGAACAAGCTGGGCAGATTCGGGGCCTCAGCTCACCCACACCTACCTCTGCCCATGCTCCATGTGCTCTTCCCAACACCCCAGCCCTGTTCTGCACCCAGAGAGATCCCTGCTCCAGCCCTGGAAATGCTTTTGGTGAGTGAGGAAGGGAAGAGCTTCCTGAGAGCCCCGGGTGGTTTCTGGCTCCCAGTTTTGGGAGTTTTTTGGGGGTTTGTGTTTTTACATCCTGACCCGTGAATGTACAGAATCCAACCCCAAAGCTCTCCCTAGACCGGCTGAGAATTCCCAGCCTGGAGCCCTCAGACCTCATCACTGTGGTGGGTTTTGTATCCCTCTCTCCAAGTGTCTTTGGGGACCTCGAGTCTGAGGCTGAGGGGACCCCTGGAGCTGGGATTGTGCCTGGTGCTCCCGGGGTGTCACAGCCCAGACCCACGGGAGTCCTTTGGGAAGACCCCTGGAATGCCATGGCCTTAAATCCCCAGGGCCCCCCACATCCCAACGAGCTTCTCCATTAATGCTGTCGTCAAGCACAAGCGCCGGGAGCCCCGGAGCCACTCCAGGGGCAGGGATGGGCTCTGGAGCGCGGCTCCAGCCCTGCCCTGGACACGGCTCCGGGCTGTGTCCCTGTGGCACGGACCAGCCTTCCTGAAGTGAGAGGGAGCCGGCCCCGGCTCGGCTCCTTCACCCCCTTTGCCGACGGGTCAGACCCGCCTGTTTGTTGTTCTCCGTGTGAACACAAAGGACCAAAGATGCTCCTGACATTCCTCCCGCTGGGAATGGCGTGGGCACCCCGAGCTGGGCTGGAAGCCTGCGGGAGCTGCCTCCTCCCGCCAGGAACAGCTCCCCCGGGGCGGGTGGAACGCGAGGAGAGAGCTCGGAGCGTGAGCCGAGCCCATCAATAAAATAAGCTGAAGCATTTTGATCGCAAATTTTTTTTTTTTTTTAATAAATATAGATCTGTGACCCTCACCCAGCCCGGGGCTGCTCCTCCTCCGGGAGCCCCGGGAGCGAGGTGGGGGGGTGTTCCGTCATTTGAGGGCAAACCGGTGCGTTTGAGGGTTTGAGTCCTCCGGAGAATCTCGCGGGGGTGACACTATGGGGTCACTTTGGTGTCGCCTTCGCCTGCAAAGAGTCGCGGTCAGGCCGGGCCGAGGGGCCGGAACCGGCACCGGGATGGGGCCCGGGCCCGGGACGTACCGCCCGGGCGAAGCATTCCCGCAGCGCCTGGAACTCCTGCAGGCACGTGTCCCGCCGCAGCTCCGCCGGCCCGGCCGCCGCCGCCGCCACGCACCGCCCGTAGGCCGCGGCCTGCGAGAACCACAGGGGGCGGGAGCGGGGGCCGCCCGGCCCCCGCCCCCGCAGCCGCCCCTCTTGTCCCCCCGCGTGCCCCACCTGGTCCCCGCACGCCGCCAGCGCCGCCGGGAAGCGCCGGAGCCGCGCCCGCGCCCGCAGCCACACACCGCGCCCCGACATCCTCACCGCATGGGCGCCGCCATGACAGCCCGCCCGCCATTGGCCGCCCGACCCGCCCGTCAGACCGCCGCGCTCTCCCATTGGGCCGTAACCTCCCCATCCTCACCCCTTCTGATTGGTCTCTCCGGCGATTGGTCCCACTGATTGGTGTAAATGCCCGTTGTTTACTTCCCGTCTCCCGCCGGCGTCAACTCCATTCGGCCCTTTCCGCGCGGAACCCCGCCCTCCTCGGCTGCTGATTGCTCGAGCAGGAGCGTCTCTCCCTCTCATTGGTTCCGGGAGGTTCCGGGGGGCGGGGCCGTGACGCCGCCGCGGGCCGGGCGGGGCGGTGCTCCAGTGTCATGGCGGCGCCGCTGCGGGACCGGCTGAGTTTCCTGAGCCGGGTAAGAACGGAGGGATTTGGGGGTCGGGGGGGCTGCCCTGGCCGTGACGTCACTCCACACGAATGACGTCATCGCCGCGCACCCCCGTCTCGCTTCTACAGCGGCCTCGCACAGCCCTGGCGGGGCCGGGCCTGCCTCGGAGCCTCAGCCGGGGCCGGGCCTGGCCCCTCTCACGTCGCCCTCTCCTCCCGCAGCTGCCGGTGCTGCTGCGGGGCACGGCCGACGACGACACCCCCTGCCCCGGGTACCTGTTCGAGGAGATCGCCAGTATCCTTCGGGGGGCTGGGGCTGGTCCCAGGAGGACGGGAGGATCCCTGGGGCAGGTGGGGGGTCCCCGGGCATTGCGGGGGGGTCCCGGGGCTGCCCCAGGCCGTGGTGGGCACGGGAGGCCTGCGGAGCTGTGTGGGGGCAGCCACAGTGCTGTGGGCCCAGGCTGGGATTCCATGGGGGAGAATTCCTGGCATCGCGGGGGCTGCTGGTGTTCCCTGATCGCGGCTGGGGGGCGCAGGATCCCTAACATCCCCGCAGAGATCTCCCACGAGTCCCCCGGGAGCAGCCAGTGCCTGCTGGAGCACCTGCTCACTCGGCTGCAGAGCAGCTCCTGCCACGTCAAGCTGAAGGTGGGTCCGTGCCGGGGGCACCGGCAGGTGATGGGCTGGACCACCCCCCCTTCGGGGGACTGGGGGGCACCCCTGACCCGACCTTGTGCCCCGGGCCAGGTGCTGAAGATCCTGCTGCACACCTGCTCCCAGGGCTCCCCCCAGTTCGTGCTGCAGCTGAAGAGGAACGCGGGGTTCATCCGCGAGGCTGCGGGTAACGGGCTGGGCTGGGGGCTGGGGGCTGGACACCCTGGGGGCTGCAGCAGCAGCAGGGTCCATCCCCCATCCCTCCCCCCGTGTGTCCGCAGTGTTCTCCGGGCCCCCCGACCCCCTGCACGGCAACAGCCTCAACCAGAAGGTGCGGGCGGCTGCACAGGTGGGTGCCGGGGGGGCAGGGCAGCCCCAACCCCACCCTGGGGGTCCCCAGCGCTGCCCACACTCCTCCCTCCCTCCCTCTGCCAATCCCCCAGGACCTGGCCAGCGTTCTCTTCTCGGATGCGCCGCTGCCGCAGCCCCTGGCACTGCCCGCCCGGGCCCCCGCCGGTGAGTGCAGCCCCCCAGCCCCCCGGGGAGCCTCAGCCAGGGGGACCTCGAGCGCTGAGTGTCCCTGTGTGTCCCCAGGGATGGGCTCCAGCCCCAGCCCCTGCGGCTCCCTGCAGGGGTTCGGCTTCAGCGGTGACAGAAGCGGCCCCGGTGAGTCCTGCCCGGGCTGTGCCCTGCCTGGAGCTGTGCCAGGGCCCTGGGGGGCACTCTGTGCCCTGTTCCCAGAGCTCCCAGGGTTTCCTCACCCCTCTCCCCCAGCCTGGGAGCCCGGGATTCTCTCACACCCCCCCTCTCCGCAGCTTCCACGGGGGAGGCCCTGCTGAGCAGCCTCCAGCGAGCGGCCGAGGCCGTGGCCCAGGCCGTGCTCCCGGCACCAGGGGGGCCCCGGCAGCCCCGGGGGGACCTCCCTGAGGACACCTACGAGCCTGTCCGAGCCCCCTCCCCCAGTGGCAACCCAGCCCCGCTGCCCCCACCGCCCCCCACAGCCTGTGGGTCCAGAGGTGGGTCCTGCCGGGGGGTCCCCACCCTCCCTGGGGTCTCGGGGACCCCAGCTCAGCACTGCTGTCCCTGCAGTGAGCCACCAGCCCGGGCTGGCCGGGGGCGGCTGGGAGGAGGCGGACAGCGGGCACAGCTCCCGGGAATCCTCGCAGGGACACGAGCGGAGCCGCGCCTCGGACTCGGGCAGTAAATCCGGCAGTGACAGCCGCTCCGGGGCCAGCCGGGAGCTGAGCCACTGTGCCGACAGGTGAGGGGGGCTGGGGGGCTCCCCTGCTCCCAGGGCCATCCCAGGGAGCTCCCCTGTCTGTGTCCCTGTCCCTGTGTGAGGGGCATCCCCGGGAACGCTGCCCTGGTGCTGCCGGCTGTTCCTCCTGGGATATTTGGCCTCCCAGCCCTGCGTGTGCAGAGCTGCTCAGGGGTGGGGGGTCCCTGGCTCTTGGGGGGGTGCTGGGTCTGTGCCAGACCCCAGGAGGGGGGAGCAGGTGTCCCCTGTGCCCAGCAGGTGTGTCCCCTGCAGGGTGGACGCTGACAGCCCCGGTGACTGCCGGCGGGAGGTGAGCCTGGTGTCGGGGCTGACGCGCGGGGCCAGGGTCTTCCTCACCAGGGAGGAGGCTCAGCACTTCCTCAAGGAGTAAGTGTTGGAGCTGGGGGCTTCTGGGGGCACCCTGAGCCCTTCCCACCCCCCTGCCTGGGCCTGGATCCCTGCAGTGGGGAGGGGTGAGGAGGGGCTGTGGACAGGGTGATCTCCCTCCCTGTCCAGGTGTGGGCTCCTGAACTGTGAGGTGGTGCTGGAGCTGCTGGGCCGGGCTCTGGAGGATCCCAGCGACAGCGTCCGCATGGTGAGCATGGGCTGTCCCCCCCAGGGGGGCTGGGGGCTCTGGGGGCTGCCCAGCTCAGCCACGCTCCCCTTTCCCGCAGAGATCCATGTCCGCCCTGTCCGCCCTCGGCTGCTCCGACCTGCTCTCTCCGGAGCAGATCTTTGCTGTGACCCGGCAGCACCTGCAGCAGCTCAGCCAAGGCAGCCCCGGGCCTGTGGCCAACCGGGCAACCAAGGTGACTCTGGGGACATCCCTGTGCCCAGTCCCGGAGCAGGGGGCTCCTGGAACCGGCTTCCCCGTCCAGGAGACACACAGCTCTTGGGGATGGCTCCATGTGTGTCCCAGAGGGGGGAATTGGTGGCCTCTCCCGGGAGCAGGGAGCCCGGGTGGGGTGATGGGGACACTGGGGAGAGTCCCTGTGCCTGGGAACAGCGTGGCCAGGCCCCTGTCCCGCTCCGCTCTCACCTGGCCTCTCCTGCCCCTCCCGCAGATGCTGAGGCAGTTCGAGGCCCTGTGCCGGGCCCAGCCCTCCCCGAGGGCCCTGCGCCCCTCCCCAACCCCCCCGGCCGGGGACCTGCTGATGGACTGCCCTGCCCTGGCCGGCGAGAGCATCCTGACCCCGCTGAGCCCACCCCCCGGGGCCCCCCCTGCCCCCGGAGAGGAGCTGGGGGCGGGAGCGGAGCCCCCCGGGGCTGCAGTGCCACCGTGTCCCTGCCAGCAGGGCCGGGGGATGGGGCCGGGGGGGCACACGGCAGCCCCAGGGCTGTCCCTGTTCGCCGGGATGGAGCTGGTGGCCCGGCCTGGTGCCGTGATCCGGACAGAGTCACCACTGGCACAGCCACAGACACTGCCCCAGCCCCAGGACACGGGCACGGACACGGGCACGGACATGGGTACGGACATGGAGGGCCCCCGGCAGCCCTCGGCCTTCGCCTTCCTCAACATGTAGCTGCTGTGGGGTCCCAGGGGCTGTGGGGCTGAGCCCCCCTCCCTGCGGGGCCTGTGGTGTCCTGGTCCCTCAGAGGGACATGGGGCATGAAAGGGTCCCTTGGGGGGACACGGGGCTTCCATCAGGTGACAACGGCCCTGTCCCTGATGTTCAGGGTGGGCAGAGGGGCCTGGCCTTGGCACCTCTCTCTCCTCTGGGCTGGAGAGGAGCTCAGAAACCCCTGGGGCTGAGCTGGGGGTGCTCTGGGTACCCTGGCATGGCCATGGGGTGCTCCTTCCCAGCCCCAGCTCCGGCCCAGGCTCTGTGGGGCTGAGGTGGGAGGAGGTGCCGTCCCTGTGGGGCCGGGACCCACCAATAAACCCCCCCCTCGGGTCTGGCAGTGTGTGACTTCTTCCTGCGCCTCTGCTGGAGCTCTGCCCTTGGCTCCCTCCTCCCCAGGGGCCCTCCCTGCCCACAGCCCCCCAGGAATCCCACAGCTCCCTGCCCCACAGCCACAGCTCCCCATAGGGTCCCCAGCATCCCCCTTGCCCCACATTCCCCCAGTAGCCCCACAGCTCTCTCCACGGGCCCCCCAGTAGCCCCATGACTTCCCCCTGTCCCAGAGCCCCCCAGTGTCCCCATTGCCCCCCCAGTACCCCCATCACTGTCCCCCCGCCCACGTGGGTCAGGCCCCGCCCTCTGCGAGACCCCGCCCCCTTACCTGCACCCCGCCCTTCTCTCCCCTCATTGGCTCCTTCCCCAAGCCCCGGCCCTGCACAAACCCCTCCCTTCTCCATTATCCCGCCCCTTCCTCACCTCAGCCAATCACGTCTCTTTCTCCGCCTCCCTGCTCCCTCCCCATTGGTTGCTGGCTGAAGGCTCCGCCCCGCGGGCGTGGCCGGACGCGGCCGTGGGTGAGGGGCTGGGGGTTAATGGCGGCCCGGGGGGCCCGCGGGGGCCGGCACAGGGACAGGGACAGGGACACGGCCTGACCCCCGCCCTGACCCCCGGCATCGCCCTGACCCCCGGCCCCTCACCCTCTGCATCGGCCCCGCGGGGCTCCTCCGCCTCTGGGTGCGTGTAGCCCATCCTTGCCGGCGTGTCGGGATGGGGATGGGGGGCTTGGAGGGATGCAGGCCTGGCCTGGGCTCTGGGGGTTGGGATTTGGAGGGTCCTGGAGGGGTCTGGGAGCCACGGGGGCTCGGAGTTTGGGCACGTGGAATTTGGGGGTCTCTTGGGGGATCTGGGTCTTT